AAAGGAACTGGTTTAGGGACGTGCCCCCTCCATAATCAGGGACTGGCCCAGCTCCAAGCCTCCCACCCCCATGCACCTTTTAAGAAAGGTGGGGGGAGTGACGCTCCCCCCCCCATTTCAGACAGGAACATTGCTGGCGGTTCACCTTTGCCAGGGAGCAAGGGAAAATTGCAGAGTTTGCTGCATGTCTCACTGTCTGGGGACCTCAAGGGGCAGACAAACATAAACCTGTTCCAGCTGGGGCCAGGGAGGATGTGTGTGTGTGTGGGGGGGAAAGGGTGAAGCTCCCACAGCACCTCCGATATGTATGGAAACATTGCTGAATGTTCCCCTTTGTCAGTGTGCTGCATTCCTCACTCTGTATGGGGAGCACAGGCAGATGAACCAGGACCTGCCCCAGCCGGAGGACTTGCACCCATCCCCCCCCCCGGCTTTGCCTGCTGGAGCTGTAGTGGCCGTGGAGAGGCGCTTCTCACCTGGCTCCAAACTGCTGCTTTGACAGAAGGCTGGGGTTGTTCTCTCTCCTTCCAGGGCAGCCTGGACACTGAATCCCTTATCCCCAGCCCCACCCTAGAGCAATGACTTAAGTGAGGCATATACATTTTCATTTTATTTTCCAAAAACAAAAATTGAGTTAAGGATCTGAGTAAAGCCGGGTAACTCTTCTAGTCTTTCATGAGAACTGAACCTGAGAACACTGTTCATACAAGTGTGTAGATTAAAAATGAGCAATAGCAGGAGGAGAGAGAAATATAAGATCAGGCGAAGGATAGAATACAATTTCATCTTGAATTTGAAAGGAATGAAATAGCTGATGAGACAGCATTCAGAGCTCTTTACAAAGAACCTTAGGTCAGAAGCCAATCTGCATTTTCAACCTCTAGCTGGTTGGTCAGTATAGCCAGGAAGTCATTAAACTTTACTCCACTGCAGTGCATTTTAAAATTGTCTTTGCCTGCCTGGCAATAGCATATATTTCTTATTGTTAGCTCTATCATTAGGATGTCTCAGGGTTAACAGGGTTAATTTGCCCAGACAGGCAAATTAAAGACAAAAAGCCATCTCTATGCGATATAGTTTGGTCAACAAAAGTTACAGTGATGTAATGCTGTTGATCTTTGCATATTGCTTGGGTCTGTACACATCTAGTTGCATGTTTTGGTCCTGCATGGACTCAACAAAAGTGCCATGTAAAATGGAGTGAACTACAGCCTTGTGGGACACTTTTGCAGTGCTTTGTGAAATACTAGTGATTTGCTCAGGGATCTTGGGGAGCCAGGGTCAAATTTCTACCACACCACTTTCAACATTCCATAATGTGTTCCACAGCTCAACACTTGCATGCTGCTTTCTCTCTCTGCCATATTTCTGGCAGAAGCCTGAGTTCTGAGTGGCTCAGCGCAATTCTCACGATTGTTGCAAACAGAGAATACACAATTCTCTGGAATTTGCAGAACCTGAGCAAGTACTATTATTACTGGGATTGTAAAGAGGAAGAGGTGAAGACATTCAAGTGCAAAAACTGGACGCTTACTGACAACTGGGAAAAAATGCCAGGTTGTTGCTGCTGTTCAGCAAGCAGCTACACACAGTGGATTTCTGTTTCTGGCTCAAGAAATGAGCACTGATTGAGAGTCTAACAGGATAAGGTATATTTGGACGCAAAAGATTACATTTTGGATTGGTGTCCTAAGCTCACCCCGACCTACAGCATAAGACACCAAAATGACAGCGGCATTGTCAGTGAGATGCAAGAGGCAACCAGACTCTTGCAACTCCAGACTGCTATCAGTCAGTGGGCAATCAGACTGGGAAAAATCCACAATGAGGGCCATTGTCATCCAGGTGCCCAATACCATCTCTTGCTACACAGGACTGTGACCCTGATTAATAAAAAGGATATAGTGGATAGATTTGCAACAATGGTGTTCCTGCATTGCAGTGGTTTGGTAGACACACCCATATCACTATTCTGGTGCCAGGCCCTTTTGCCACTGAGTACATCCACAGAAAAAGATACTTTCCCATAGTTACGCAAGTGCTAGTGGATCACTGTGTGTGCTTGATTAATATCAATGTGGCCTGGCCAGGGAAAGGAGCATGATGCTCACCTCTTCAAGGACATGGGGCTTTTCAAAAGCTGTGAGTAGGATGTATTTCATGAGCAGCAGATTACCACTGTTGATACTGCACTAGCTATTGTAAGGTGCCCAACCTATCCCTTGCTCCTATGATTCATGAACGTTTGCAGTGGCCAGCACCAAAGAAAGATTATATACAGTTAAATTCACTTGTGATAAACTACAGAGATGGCAACACTGTTTTCTTAGTAAATTGGAACTCAGCAAGGCAAACATGCCCTTGGCTGTAGCTGCATGTTGTGTCCTGCAAAGTATCTGTGATGTGAGAGGGAAAAAACAACTGCCACAAGTGAAAAGACATCGTGGTTACACTGTCTGCTGAATTTCAACATCCCAAACCCAAGGTTATTAGAAGAGCCAACTGCAGAGCTGCGTGGGTGAGGGAGGCCTTAAAAATACCTTTAAAAGTAAGCCACAGTAGTGTTGTCTGATGAGTTTATGAAATATGATCTCTCATGTGTATGGAGCTGAGTCAAGGAAGGGGATCAGACTGACGTAAAGCAGAAATGGTTGTCAACAGGAGGGGTTACCTCAGAGGTGGCCAATAATTGGAAAGGCTGCTGAATCTTGTAACATCTGAGTTTATTGCCTGAGCAAATCCAGTATGCCCTGATATGCTGCTTGGTCCTTTTCCATCTTCTGCAGCAAACAATAGTCAAGTAAGCAATCAAAAGTCAATGAATTCATTCGCTAAGCTTGCAGACAGGGTGGACACCATTTTTAAATGGGGAAGGATGGTGGAGATGGAGGAGAAGAAGGGAGGCAGGGACAGAAGATTTTGGGCGGTGAAAAGCAAAAAAGTGATAAGGAATACGACATATGAACATTTACTCAAGTGCTCTTCTAATTCACCAGTGGGGTCATTTGTGCTTGTCTGTTAGGACTGGCTTGCAGGGGAGTTTCAAACAGCTCCTGGCTTATAGCATGATTTGAGTTCCCTGCCATGTTGCCCACCTTCTCTCCTTTCACAGGTGAGGTCTCTGCCTTGGGCTACTGCAAAGTGTCCATGTTGAATACAAGGTCCTGGTGCAGGCACTGTCAACTATGGCATGCAGTTTGTTGTAAAAGCAGCAGCTTTATGGGGCATTAGCAGATTTCTTCTTGTTTTCCCTTGCCCTTTGGGATCTCTGGTGAGATTCTTTTGTTTTCATACTACATAGCTGCTCAGGCCTATGGTGCTCCCATTTCAGCATCCCCTGTGCATGTCGATGTTGATATTTCAATGATTGTTCCATAACTGTGCTTGTACAGCATCTTCTCTCCAGTAGATCAAAGACTTCTTGCTTGCTTCAGGCAGAAGCACATTTAATAGAGATCTGTGTGCATGGAGTTGGCATAGTCATATGTACACAGCAAAGGTGAGCAGGTAGGTGTGCTCAGGTGGGCAATCCGGAAAAGGCATTTCAAAAACATGTGTACATTTAAAAAGGGGATGGAGTGGGCTGGTTTGTATGACCCCTGGACAGTGGCACTGAAAATTGTGACTGGAGAAGCCACTGGTGCAGGGACAGAGCAATGTGCAATGGCTGCTCGAGTACTTGTGTTGATCCAAACAGTTCTCGATGTGTACACTTGCATTGTGCATACCTAAGATGGTCAATCATTGCTTTGCATCACTTGGGAAGGTGCTGTTATTGCATCACTATAACATGATACTTATATTCAAGGGAAACAAATTTTGGGGGAAACACATGAACAAGTAGGTTGATGCAATTATATGTACATTAACCTAACTTTGTAGTGCATACAGGCCAGAGGAAAGAAAGGATATAGCAAATTTTGTTCATTACAAAAGTGCCCGAGATCATACCTAAATTTCAGAAATTATCTTGTATTCTTCCAAACCCTCCCAGTTCTCCATCAACTCCACACACAACTTACAACCTCTCCATCCTCAAATTATTTCCCCACTAGATTTGGGATTCTGTGTCCCTGGTTAATGGTCTTGCTTCTTTTATCATTACTCTTTCTCCCTCCTCCACATCAGAGGAAATAGTGATGCTAGTGCCAGCCGACAGTTCTGCTCTTGCCTTGGAACATTGTTTAGTGTGTCCTCTAGGTATGATGTGTGTGGGGCTACGTCTAGACTACATCCCTTTTTTCGGAAAAGGGATGTAAATTAGACGTATCGCAATTGAAGTGGGGATTTAAATCCCCCGCGCTTCATTAGCATAAAAATGGCTGCCGCATTTTTTCGGCATGGAGCTTTGTCAGAGAAAAGTGGCAGTCTAGACACTGATCTTTCGAAAAATAAAGCCTTTTTTGAAAGATCCCTTATCCCTTATTTTTTGAAAGATCAGCGTCTAGACTGCCGCTTTTCTCCGACAAAGTTCCGTGCAGAAAAAAAGCGGTAGCCATTTTTATGCTAATGAAGCGCAGGAGATTTAAATCCCTGCTTCATTAGCAATTGCGATACGTCTAATTTACATCCCTTTTCCGAAAAAAGGGATGTAGTCTAGACGTAGCCTGTGTGAAATTGTTGTGATTGGGCCCTTTGCATGCAATGTCAGAGGTGAGCCAAAATATCTTTTGAGACTGATATGACTTAACATGATGTTGTACAATAGTAAGACTGTGCTATAATCTGACAGCGTCATGTTATCATGCTGTGACGTAAATGTGTGAGGAAAAACTTTAAAAGGTGGCATCCCCAAATCCCCATTTGGCTCTAAAACAGTCTCAAACTCATATCTTCCCCTCTCACACAAAGTACAAGAGACTAATTTTTATTTTAACTGCTATGAGACTTTAGCTACTATGTATCCATGTGGAAAAATACTTATTCATTATGCTCACGTAACCACCTCGGGGCAGATTTGAACCTGGGACCTCAGGGTAGGAGCCTCTACAGCTTGAGCTATAAAGCCAGCTGACTCTCATCTTAGACCACTTACAGCAAGAGATAAGAAGGGAGCTCTACCGGCTAATTGCCACTACAGGGGACAGTGAACCACACTCACTAGATGTACATCAAGTACATCAAGTTTTCCCTCTGAAATACATACTGCATTTCTTTTCTGAGACCAATATCATAGTGTACTACAAACTTCCAAGTAATTTTGCTACATCTAGTTCTTTCAAAACCTCTCATGGTGCTTAACTCTCCTATGCCACCCAAACAATATGGCATATATTCCAAACCTACAATCAAACACACAATTTGACCTGCTTCAAGCCAAACTCCAAAAGTGCTTAGTCACTTATTTACAGGCCATGTACAGGCCTGGCCGAAGTCAGTTCCCAAAGCAGTAATTTATTCTGCTTTGCTGTTGGTATGGTTTGGAGAATGGCTGCTGTACTTCTTAACCTCCTGCCTTTCAGAGATAAATGAAACAGAAATGACTTTGTTAGCATCACATAAGGTATTTCTAATCTCGCAAACCATAAGAACATATCGCAAAGGCTAAAATGCCATTCAAGCATTATCTGACTTGATACAGAAAGTATAAAAATGTAGGTGAACTTGAATAAAATGTTCCAAGTTGTGTGCAGCACCATTTTAACAGCATGGTAAACAAGTTTATCCAACAGGGAAACTTTGAAAGAAAGCATTTCTCAATTGATTAATGCAGCATCAGCTCCTTCCACCAGTTCCTGCAAAGCAACCTTAAGTGCAAGTTTCCTCATCATTCACTTGAGTACAATACTTAGGTTGGATTTTTGCACATAATATCCATAGAGGTTTTCAAATTAGTAAAATAAGATTAATTTCTCATTAAAATAAATCTTAAAAGCAACATTTTCAAAAAGTTCCAAATACGTATTTACAAAATGGACAATATGAATTAAGGGGCTTGATCTGATGGTGTAAATAATAAAATAGTAAATCTCTCAAATGGGTATCAATAAGTACTTAACAACAGTGTTTGTGTCCTTTCTGTGTTCTTTATGACTATGTCTACTCTGCTATGTCAGCTGGCTCAGGCTAAATGGTTCAGGCTAATGGGGCGCCTCGCTGCAGTGTAAACATGCAGGCCTGGGATGGAGTCTGGGCTCAGCGACCCTCCCACTTTGCCCCTGTCTACACTGCAATTAAATAACCTCTTAGCTCCAGTCTGCTGGTATGGGCCAGCTACAGATTTATAACTGGAATGCAGACATGCCCTCTTACTATCCTAGCAAATGATTAGAGCAGGAGACATTTTTTGTAAACAGCATGTTTTGAACTCATGTGAGTATCTGCACTGTAAATTAGGGCCTAATCTTCCAACAGCAGGGCCCTACACATCTATGGTACCACACCTGGAAATGCTGGGATCTCACATGAAGAATGGCACTGAGTAATACATTTCTCTGCTACACCATGCTGGGACATTAGTTCATTGTCTCAGGGGAAAGAATGGAACTTATTGAACACTGCTTCCTGCAGGCATTTTATTTCCTAAGTATCCCTTTACAAATCAGGACTGACTGTACTTAGTTTATATTTGATAAGATCATACTCCAATGAGCTCTGGCTCTGAGGGTAGAACAGGCTTAATTTTTCCTGGCAAAATAACTTACATATGTTGTAATCAAGATGAGTGCTACTGATTTTTAAAGGATAACTGAGTTCCTGAACAGCTCCCACACAGACAGCTCCTTTATATGGGACAACGGTCAAGCTAGTGTTAGGCTTTACAAATATAACAACCCCTTTAAAATATTTAATTTCATTTTGGCTTCTTGGGAGCACAGTGCAGTTATTAGAACCCCACGTAATTTATTCATTCTAGAAATGTTCTGAAAAGTAACCCTTATCATGTTTTGTAAGAATGTGAATACATACATCAAAAAGTTTTAGACAACATATTTGTGTTCTGTTTTTAAAATGGTTTGTATCAAACAAGAAATCTATCGCATACTTTCAACGATGTGCCGACATCTTCAGGTCTGACAACAGTGAAAAGAAGTAAACATGTATTTGTCACCAAAAGAAGCAGGTATGACTGAATATATGCAAGGAGCAGATATGTGGCATAAAAGCTGTTTTTACAGAGAGTTGTCACAGTGGAATGACACTTGATTTTTTTGTAACATTTCTTTGAATACCTTCTGGCTTATCTACATATTTGTAGTGTTGTGGTGCCCCCAAATAACCTTAGTAGTCCAGGTGCAGTGTCACCAATCACGTGGAGAAGGGACTAATACCTTCCTTCTCCATGACGTGCTGTCTTTGCGTGTACAGCCTAAAATAGCATTAGCTATTTTGCTGCTGTATCACATTTCAAGTGCCTGGGTCTGATTCTGCTCCCAAGAGAGTTTGGCAACTGACTTCAGTGGGCACACGATCATATCTCATATCTAATATGCTGACTCCTGTCACTCCTATTTTTCTTTGACACTACTACTGGTGGTCAAATTTCTTTCTTCCATTTTAAACATTCAGGTTGATGATTTCAACCTAATGTGTTATCTCGAATTTGTCTCAGATACAGATTATTTAGAGCCAAATTATGAATCCCTAACCTGTACTGGTGAGCAGTTACTCCTGAGAATGGTAACACTGATTTCTGTTTCCCAGTAATTATTTCCAGTCCACGTTTGTAACTTCAACTAACTCCTTTGCTTTTCTCTGTCATCACTTGCACTTGCATCACCTCATTTTACTGTCACCATCTGACATAATGTGTGTGCCTCTTTTACATTTAATGAATGGAGACACTAACAAGGATATACCTCTACTTCCTGTGTCATCTCTTCCCTGTAGGCTCTGAGGACAAACAAACAAACAAACACAAACAAACAAAAAAGTAATAGTACAATGACAGACAGTTTTTCCATTCATGTGCCAATGCTCATATTTACACCAATTCAAATATTTTTTTTCTAAAAAGAGAATTATAAAGTTAATAGATAAGTGAATTCAGTAATTGTAATATCTTGTTTTAGCAAAGCATGGCTTTACAGTAGTTTCTTGTGAAGTCATATTTGACAGTTTCCATAGCATTGGTCTGGTATGTCTTGTCCTTGAAAAAGCCAAGCTATTTATTGCTCATGGTTCTGTTAACTACAGTATTTTCCCCCTCGTAACATGTGTTGTATAACTCCATCAAAGATCTGGTTGAACTTGGGCATTTTCAATAGGGATATAAGCCTAGGTTTATTGGTTAGTTGAGCAGACTATTTGCATTTCCTCCCCATCCCTGCTGCCTCTATCAGAGTTTGGGCCCACCCTGGCACCCCACAGGCAGGAGCTACTGCTGGAACAGCCTGTGCTTGTGGCCAGCTTGGGCCACCATGGAACTACCCCAACTTAGGATAGGCTTGCTCTTGAAGTGCAAATTCTTGATCTAGACTAGAGCTTCCGTCCCCACCAAGAGGTGAGACCTCATGGTATTGTTTTAATCTAATGAGAAACACATGCAACTCAATACAAAAATAATAAACCTTACACACATTTCCCTGCCATAGTTTCCTTATTATTCTAGAACATTCTCTGGAGCCTTTCCTCCAGATTCCATAGTTTCCTCCCCATTCTAGAACACCCTTCTGATGATACTCACGTCGATCCCTGAACCATGGAGCCTCTTCCCTTAGGTTAGCTTGTGTTCTCTGATCTTGGTTGGTTCTGCAGCTAAATCTAATCCTCCTCTTTTGAAAGCATTCCTATTTCTTCTCATCTCCTGCCAAATTATTTTGTCTCTCTCTCCAAAGTCTTCTCCTTATGAGTCCTTTTAAAAACTCCTGCTTTATTACGTCTGTCCCTTTGTTCTGTTTGAGAATTTTCCACTTTTTCTACTTCCTCCTCTCTGCAGACATGTTGGATTAGTAAATATACAAACCAACCCTTGAGCATCTCATGTCAATCCATTTACCACACAGTCTTACAAAGCCAACAGAAATTACCACAACCTTAGTAATACTTCAGGTGACTAGATTTAGGCCAGAATTACAACAAACTATGGGTAAGAAATTTTAAACAAGAATGAAGTATGCAAGTTGGGGTGGGAGAGAAATTGTATCTTTCATGCTGCTGTGTATTGCTCCTGTGTCTCAGCCCATCTCTGACTGCATCATTGTGCTTCTAGTGCAGGGGTGGCCAATCCATTACAGACAAAGAGCCAAAATAGTCATGGATACAGCTCAAAGAGCCGAGGGAAAGTTGTTGAGCAAAACAAAACAAAAACACCGCTGCCCCTTTAACAGCCTCATGTGGCCCAAGCAGGCTTTCATTGGCCAGAAAGTTGTTGAGCAAAAACACCAAAAAAACCCAACTCGCTGCCCCATGTGGCACAGAACGCCAAGTAGCCTATCCAGTGTACCTATAGGCGCCCATCCCCGGCTCCGCCAGGGGTTCCACAGCAGAGCTGTCTGAATAACCAGACCCCACCCCCCAGCTTCCCTGGAACTAAACTTTGTGGCTGCCAAAGCCGGGCAGCACGGCTGACACCAGGAGTGGGCTGAAGTAAGCCCACACCACTTCCACCTTGCTGCCCAGAATGGAAACAGGGCTCTTCAGCACCGAGGCTCCAGGCTTTCATGTTATTTATCTTTGCAATCATACTTATGTACTGTATTCCCAATATGGTGTCTAATTTCAGAAAAGGTAAATGTCTGGACTTAAATGGTATTTCAATATTCATGAGTCAGACTGACATCTCACTCTTACAATTTGCTAATTTGTTTTACTGCTTTATTCCCTTTCCATTCTCCTTCTAAACTACAGTATAACAGACAAGACATATTGACACCTGTCGTGTAATAATTAAATGGATAAACAAGTACATCTAATTGTTCAATTGGAATGTAAAGGGAATCTTGGTAAGGGGCGAGCTAAAATTGTTTACATTCGTAAGTGTAAATTGGACTCCACGTTGTATGAATATTGCCTCCTACTCAGTACAGAGTTTGAGGTCTAAGAATTTAACAACCTGATCCAAAGATTCACATGGATTTCACTGGGCTTAGGACTCAGGAGAAGAAGAGAGGATTTGGCTAAAAGAGAAAAGACACAATCAGTTGTTTAAGGGGAAAAATCTGTATTTCAGACAGGAGACTTTAACTTTCACTCACTTTCTCTTTCTTAATGTAGATCGTTGATATCCCATGTGCAGCCATATATGCCTTGCTGACAGACTACTTGCTTATCACACATACAGCTCTAGCCAAGAAGAGGGTAAAATTACATTTTCCCACAATATCTATTTCAATGCAACCAAAGACTGTGTCTTAACTACAGTCATGGAAATTGAGACTATTTCATGCTTCATTATCTTTCAGTAATACCAAATAGGACTCAGCGGAGATGCTGTCGTATAAACCTAATAGGCTCGGGCAACTGAGAAGGTGCTATGGAGACAATGGCGACTTTGTTTTCTTTTAAGCACGCATAACCCCAGAATTATTTTGAATAAACCAAAGACTGTGTCTTAACTACAGTCATGGAAATTGAGACTATTTCATGCTTCATTATCTTTCAGTAATACCAAATAGGACTCAGCGGAGATGCTGTCGTATAAACCTAATAGGCTCGGGCAACTGAGAAGGTGCTATGGAGACAATGGCGACTTTGTTTTCTTTTAAGCACGCATAACCCCAGAATTATTTTGAATAATAGTTCTTTGAGAAGGATATATAAATATTATTATGGACATTGTTTGTTTATCATTGTTAATGATACACAATAATAAAAAGGTGCTTCATCAGTCATGATTAGGATATATTGGAAATACTGAAACTTACACTGCAGCATGCTGTGAGGTTCAGAACTAGATGATACCAGATAGGAGTGATATATTTGAGCAAAACATTCAGCACTTTCAGCCTGAAACTGGATATAGTGAAATTCACGCACTTTTGAGGAGATTCACAGATGCACAATATAACACATTATACTACAAATCCTATGCTGTGTTGCACCTGATGTGGGATACTTAAAATTTGATCAAAATCTTTGAATATTTCAGTCTCTTAAAACTTTCTAAGAAAAGGATCTGAAAATAAAATATACATCACATGTCTGGAATTGTTTATAATGCATTAGGAAATGTAAAGATTCATAAAACCTGATCTTTCTGTCTAACTACACAGGTTGTAAATGTTCCCTCTCTAATATATAGAGCCTATTATACCCCTTTTACCTCAGAATCAAGGTATGTTAAACAACAATACTTTTGATCTCCAGGGTCAGGATTCACCTTGACACACGTTAGCATTTACTATTTGGCTACCAAGGCCCCTATGTCTCTCAATCTTGGGAACTTCTAGCACCTCTCCACTTGTAGTCTTCCACATTTCCTACTATAGAATCATATAACCTTAGAACTGGAAGGGACTTCAAGAGGTCATCGAGTCCAGTCCACTGCCCTCATGGTAGGTCCCAGTACCATCTAGACCAGGCATGTCAAACTCAAAGTCTACTGAGGACCGCACAAATGAAAATTGATAGCTTTCAGGGCCGCCTAGGGTTCCCAGGAGGAGGGGGGGAGAAAAAAAAAAGCAGTTTAGGCACCAATACTGGACACCTGACAACCCTAGTCGTAGTTATTTATTATTACAGATTATGTTTTAGGTATATTTTATAATATTACAATAATTTGATGTGTAAAGCTTATTTGCTCATATTAAATAAATTTTACATTAACTTTACATAATTTTTAATTTAAATATAAATTGAGGGTACTTTTCACTTTTGTATATGAAACATAACATATTTTGTTGAAATAAAAACAAGTATAGACCAAGGTTAATCAAATAGAACAGGCTTCTGTGAAAATGTCAGACACCGTGGCGAGTAGATTACACCCCAGAAGAGCCGGTGCAGAGCGCAGAACCGCACAGCTGGAGAGCCCCGCCTCCGCTTGGCAAGCCCTGCCCATTCTAACCCAATACCCCTCACTCCCCCAGATCCAGGCCTCCCCAACCTAATGCCTCCCCTCTCCCCCAGAGCCAAGCACTCCCAGCCCCCCCAACCTAATGCCTACTCCCTCCCCCATAGCCAGGAACCCCCAACCTAATGCCTCCTCCCTTGTCCACAGCCAGGCACTTCCAGCACCCCTCAACCTAATGCTTCCCCCCTCTCCCAGAGCCAGGCTCTCCCAGCCCCCACAATCTAATACCTGGGTCCCAGAGTCGACATTGCTGCCTGAGACATTGGGGCGACGTATGCACAGAGGCCAGCTGTGAGCACCTGCTGGAGCGCCCAGCACAGAGCACCCAGCCGGAAGTGAGCATGTGCGCAGAGCAACCCAGCTGGCTCTGAGTGCCTGGTGGAGAGCCTAGCGCGGAGCGCCCAGCCGGCCATGAGCATGTACGCAAAGCAGCCCAGCCAGCCATGAGCAGTTGCTGTGGCGCAAAGTGGCCGGCTGTGAGTAGGCACTCGGCCACGTGCTCTGAGCGTCCAGCACTTCATTCTTTTATAAAAAAGTTCTGGCGGCTGCAAAACATTTTGATCAGGTGGCCTGCCAAATGCCAGTTTGACATGCCTGATCTAGACCATCCCTGATAGATGTCTATCTAACCTGCTCTTAAATATCTCCAGAGATGGAGATTCCACAACCGCCCTAGGCAACTTATTCCAGTGTTTAACCACCCTGAGAGTTAGGAACTTTTTCCTAATGTCCAACCTAAACCTCCCTTGCTGCAGTTTAAGCCCATTGCTTCTTGTCCTATGCTCAGAGGCTGAGAAAAAATTTTCTCCCTCCTTCTTGCAACACCCTTTTAGATACCTGAAAACTGATATCTCCCCTCTCAGTCTTCTCCTTTACAAACTAAACAAGCCCAATTCTTTCAGTCTTCCCTCATAGCTCATGTTCTCTAGACTTTTAATCATTCCAGTTGCTCTTCTCTGGACCTTCTCCAATTTCTCCACATCTTTCTTGAAATGTGGGGCCAGAACTGGAACACAGTACTCCAACTGAGGCCTAATTAGTGCAGGGTAGAGTGGAAGAATGACTTCTCATGTCTTGCTCACAACATTTCTGTTAATGCATCCCAGAATCATGCTTGCTTTTTTTGCAACAGCGTCATACTGTTGACTCATGTTTAACTTGTGGTCTTTCTGCAGTACAGTACTCCTTCCTAGATAGTTGCTTGCTATTCTGCATGTGTGAAACTGATCGTTCCTTCCTAAGTGGAGTACTTTGCATTTGTCCTTATTAAACTTCATCCTATTTACCTAGACCATTTCTCCAATTTGTCCAGATCATTTTGAATTATGACCCTACCCTCTAAAGCAGTTGCAACCTCTGTCAGCTTCGTATCATCTGCAAATTTAATAAGTGTACTCTCTATGCCAAGTGGAACCCCACTTGTTTTGTCCTTCCAGCAAGATTGTGAACCGTTAATAACCACCTTATAGTAGCCCCATCTAAGTTATATTGGCCTAGTTTATTGATAAGAATATCATGCGAGACCATATCAAATGCCTTACTAAAGTCTAGTTATACCACGTCCACTGCTTCTCCTTTCTCCACAAGACTCGTTATCCTATCAAAGAAAGCTATCAGATTGGTTTGACATGATTTGTTCTTTACAAACCCATGCTGGCTTTTACCTATCACCTTATTTTCCAGGTGTTTGCAGATGAATTCCTTAATTACTTGCTCCATTATCTTTCCTGGAACAGAAATTAAACTGACTGGTCTGTAGTTTCCTGGGTTGTTCTTATTTCCCTTTTTATAGATGGGCACTATTATTTACCCTTTTCCAGTCTTCTGGAATCTCTCCTGTCTTCCATGATTTTTCAACGATGATAGCTAAAAGCTCAGATACTTACTCTATTAGCTCCTTGAGTATTCTAGGATGCATTTCATTAGGCCCTGGTGACTTGCAGACAACTTTTCTAAGTGATTTTTAACTTGTTCTTTTTTTATTTTATCTTCTAACCCTATCCCCTTCCCACTAGTATTCACCCATTAGCATTCATTATTCAGGCATCCCTTCATCAGACTTCTTGGTGAAGGCTGAAACAAAGAAGTCATTACGCACCTCTGTCAATTCCAAGTTTCCTGTTACTTTTTCTCTCTCCTCACTGAGCAGTGGACCTACCCTGTCCTTGGTCTTCCTCTTGCTTCTAATATATTTCTAGAATGTCTTGTTTCCCTTTATGTCTGTATCTAGTCTGAGTCGTTTTGTGCCTTTGCCTTTCTAATCTTGCCCCTGCATACTTGTATTGTTTGCTTATATTCATCCTTTATAATTTGTCCTAGTTTCCACTTTTTATATGACTCCTTTTTATTTTTAGATCATGCAAGATCTCCTGGTTAAGCCAAGGCGGTCTTTTGCCATACTTTCTAGCTTTCCTATGCAGCAGAATAGTTTGCTTTTGGGCACTTAATAATGTTCTTTTGAAAAACTGACAACTCTCTTCAGTTGTTTTCCCCCTTAGTTTTGCTTCCCATGAGACCTTACCTACCAGCTCTCTGAGCTTACCAAAATTTGTGTTCCTGAAATCCACTGTCTCTATTTTGCTGTTCTCCCTTCTACCATTCCTTAGAATCATGAACTTTATGATTTCGTGGTCACTTTCACCCAAGCTGCCTTTCACTTTCAGATTCTCAACCAGTTCTTCCCTATTTGTTAAAATCAAATCTAGAACAGCTTCCCCCATAGTAGCTTTTTCAAACTTCTGAAATAAAAAGTTGTCTCCAATGCAGTTTAAGAACTTATTGGATAGTCTGTGCCCCCCGGTGTGATTTTCCCAACATATGTCTGGATAGTTGAAGTCCTCCATCACCACCAAATCCTGTGCTTTGGATGACTTTGTTAGTTATTCAAAGAAAGTCTCATTCACCTCTTCTGCCTTGGTAGGTGGCCTGTAGTAGACTCTTAGCATGACATCATCCTTGGTTTTTTTTTACCCCTTTTAGCCTAATCCAGAAACTCTCAACACATCTGTCTCCTACGTCCATCTCCATCTCAGTCCAACTGTGTACATTTTTAATATATAAGGCAACACCTCCTCCCTTTCCCCCCATCTATACTTCCTCAGTAAGCTGTACCCTGCTATACCAATATTCCAATCGTGTATTATCTCACCAAGTCTCTGTGATACCAACGATGTCATAGTTATATTTATTTATTAGCACTTCAAATTCTTCCTACTTATTACCCATACTTCATGCATTTGTATATAGGCATCTAAGATACTGATTTGATCATGCCTCCCAGTTCTGCCTTGTCCCCTCCTTTTTTCTCTGCTATTATAGCCAACACTCCCTCCCATTTCTTTCCCATCTCCCAGGTCTTCATGTTCTTCAGTTATCTGTGGGCTTTGGTCACCTGCCCCCATCAAACCTAGTTTAAAGCCCTCCTCCTAAAGGGAATATGTGAGGGGGGAGGGGATTCAATTTGCAGGTATGTGAAGGCAAGCACTAGAACAGAGGTCTCCGTGCCTTGGGGGCATGGAGGAACATTTGGTGATGTAGGAGGGCATCTAGGGCCTCACATCTGCTGGCACCATGCTTTCCATGGCTCCAGCCTTAGCCCCCTTACCTCTGTGTCTATGTCCCTGACTTCTGAAACTGTGTCCTGCTCCTTGCCCTGCCAGGGTGGGATGGATAGGAGAATGATGGGGCCTGAGGTAAAAAGTTTGGGAACCTCTGCCCTAGAAAGATAATCAGAGCTGTAATGCTTGACTAAGGGGGGGGAGGGGGGATATGATGGAGGTAAGGATACAGTTAATAGGGAAGTGTTATTTACCCCTTCACATAACGCAAGAACTAGGGGGCTCCCCATGAAATTAATAGGCAGCAGTTTTAAAACAAAAGGAAATATCTCTTCACATAATGCAAAGTCAGTCATTCTATGGAACCTGTTTTTTTTTTTGGGGGGGGGGGGTGTTGTGAATGCAAAAAGTATATCTGGATTAACACAATTGAGTAAGCATCAGGCACGACCTAGTCCTTGGTTTTTCACTTAGGGCATGTCTACACATCAGGACAAAAGTCAAAATAGCTTAATTTGGCTTTTGGCACTGTTTACACAGCAGGAAGTTGAAGGAAGAACATTCTTCCTTTGACTTCCCTTACGCCTCGTGAAATGATGATTACAGGAGCTGGCATAAGAAGTTGGTGTAAGATGTCCTCCAGCTCGCCATTATTTCCAAACAAGGGCTTACTGTGTAGACGCACTCTTTGTTATTTTGGAATAACGTCAGTGATTCTGAAATAACGCTGCTGTGTAGACGTAGCCTCAATTCTTAGTCTAGGTAAAGCTGTCATTGACTTCCCAAGGCCAAGTAACAATTTCAGGATTTGGCCTGTAATGACAATGCCATAGACATAACTCTGAAAATTCAGTTGTATTACGTTTTCTAAAGACAGAAGTCTCAGAGGGATAGCCGTGTTAGTCTCTAACGTGTCACTGGACTACTCAGTTTTTTTATGTTACTGACTAACAAAGAGATAGCATCTTGAGCTTTCATGGGTAAAACTTACTTCATTAGATGAGTTGATAAGATGAAATGAGTTTTACCCACAAAAAGCTCATGATCCTATACCTTTGTTAATCTCTAAAGAGCAATGAGGATTACTTATTTCCTAAAGACAGAGTAAGACTTACTCTAATTTTAAAATTAAGGGAGTTGCTCAAACACATCATATTCTGATAAAGTCTTAACACTGAAATTCCAACAGTGAAAGATTTTACAGAAATCATCATTTGTTACCAAATGATAACACAATAAAAAACCCCTCTTGAACAATAAGTGCTCTTCATTGCCTACAAACAAGTATTGTTTGAATAAGTGATGAAATGCGAAATGGGCTAAACGTGTTAATTTAACAAACAATCCTTTTCTTTAAAATATATAAAAAGGAAACTATCAAAACTTTACCTGGTTGGTAGAAACTTGGTGAAAGTTCTCTGGCAACTGCTCTTGCAATATCACTTTCTTGGCGAGCAGCCTGAGCAGCCTGATCCGCAGCATCAGCTTTAGCTCTCGCATGTGCAGTTCTATACAGAGCAGAAAAGGGTTTATATGCATGGGTGCCTTTTCATTAATTGCATTAATACAACCTAGAGCAAAGTATTGTTGTCTCTGGAAAATAAATGATGAAGCACAGCCAGAAAGTTATGCTTGTTGATTCTGAGTAACTGCAAGCCAGCAAGCCTTCATATAAGTTACCCCTGAAATCTACACAAAATAATAACATGACAATTATTGGTATGTTGTAATCAATGTAAGTTGGAAGTAAAAGAAAGATATCACTGATGCTTTTGGGGGATTTTTCTTCAGTCTGCTGAGTTGCAATTTATACAAAGTTGGTTTTAACGAAGTACAGGTGGCAGGAAATATTTCCCAGTTTTAAAAGGTGTACTATGCAAAGACAAAACTGATCTGTTGCAAGGTTTCCTGCCAGTGAACCTAAACAAGCAAATGTGTATCCATTTATCAGGGAAGATGGTAATATAAGCAAATACAGTATAATGATTGCATACATTTACTTTTGATGAAGATGATATGCCAATGTATAAATAGATGCCAATCTAAGCCTCAGTATTACAGAGGATAGAGATTTAGAATAAACTGTTCCTAAAAAATAATAAAGGGCTTTATGCAGTGCATCCATATTCTTTATTTTGCAAAATTAAAATAACCTAACTGGCTCTGATAGAGGAAATAACTGATGATACAGGTATAAAAGTACCATGATGGTAAGAGATTTAGGGGGGAAAAAATCGTAATGTAGTGAGAGGAACCTGAAAATACTTCCCTCAACATTTCAGCAACCACAAATAGCTTTATAAATCAAAATATTAGAAGTAGAAAAATATCCACCTCCAAGTATCTGGGAAATCAGACAATTTGTATCAAGTAAAATTGTATAGAACGTAATTTGTTTTTAATAACATTCCTTTTACATTTAAGATGTCTTGAAGTGTTTTGCAAAATAATGAATTATATTCAGCTAGTGAAATCACTATATAGGCAAACAAAGACAACATTCTGAAGTCAAATAGGGTTTCAGGTATCTACTACACATGCTAAACAGTCTATTTACATATTTCTTTGATTATTCAGAGGTAGTTTATGATTTTTAAACTCAGCAACACATTTCTTCACAATCCCTCTGCTTATAAGTAAGGGGTGAGCATTGGCACTGTAATCTTCAACGTCTGTTAAAGTAATGCCTGCACATCCTGGGCAGTCAAAATCAGCAGTTTCTGTGCTCCCTTGAGTTGAGTGCATGTCTATGCTGCAATCAAAACCCCTCAGCTGTCTGGTATCAGCTGACCCAGGCTTACCCAGCAGGGCTATTTAATTGCAGTGTAGCCTTCTAGGCTTAGAATGGGGTCTGGGCTCAAGGTCCCAGAGAGATGGAAGGGTCGCAGAGCTTAGGCTGTCAGCTAAAAGTCAATACTGCAGTTAAATAACTCCACAGCTAAAGCCCAAGTCAGCAGTCATGGGACAAGCCACAGGTATCTAACTGAAGTGTAGACATACCCAGTAGGGATATTAGTGGCTAGTTGGCTAACAATTTAACTGATAAGTAGGGGATGCTGGAGCAGCCTCTGTCCATGGGAGCTCCGTTCCTTCCCCTCACAGACAGAGGCAGCACCACAGGATGGCAGAGGTCTCTTCAGGAGCGGGGCCAGAAGCCCACTAGTAATACTAGGGGGTAGTATTTTAGTAACTGTGTAGCTGCTACAATTTTTTGCGATTACACGATTACTAAAAAGAGAAGCTACTCACTGTGCAGTAACGATTGTTCTTCGAGATGTGTGCCCCCTAAACTATTCAGTGCTTCTATCTAAGGCATTCAGTGTTCTTGTTTCTTATGCAAAGTGCACTGAGGAGGAGAGGACTGAGCTCCGTCTGAAGTAGTGCACGCAGCCCGCTTTTCCCTTGGTTCCTTCTTCGCCACTCTTAGCTACAGAGGCGGGAGCGCCGCTCTCCATTCACACATGCGCAGCCCGCCAGATCCCTGCTTCACACCAACAATGGAGCACCCACAGGGACCTCATTTGAAGGAGAATAAATGATTTCTAACATCCCCAATACCCAGATATCCTAATTGTGCTGGCCCTTATGGAGACGGGAGTGGGGGAAAGCTCTTAGTATTCTCTACTCTCCATCCCTCTCATCTCTCCACCTCCAGGGTAACTGAAGAGTTTAGTAGTGCCTATGATAAACAGTTTTATAATAAATAAGCAAAATTTTATATATTTATACTATAATTAATTACAAACATACTAGATGAATGATCACAGTATTTTATGCCTAATACAGTAATAGGTATGAAAAATAAAAACATACAGAAAAAAAATTGAAGACACTACCACTATTGGACCACAAGTTCATAGAAACTAGAGCAGGGGCAGGCAAAACACAGCTCATAGGCTGATCTGGCCTGCAAACCCCTGGGTCCAGCTAGCCAATGTCTCATGGCCCAGTATCTTCCTCTAGATGGCGGGCTTCATGAACTTCCTCCACCCTAAGCACAATCTTGCAGCTCCCGGAGGCTGGAAACAGGCCAGTGGGAGCTGGCTGTGCTGTGCTTGTGATGCAAGCAGTACACGTAGAATGCCCCCCAAGAGCTACATGGTGTGCAGAGAGCCCATGGCCCTTGAAGCTGGCTGCCTGAGCAGTATGAAGGAGCGCAGCAGGCAGAGAGCCTGTCTAAGGGTCCCTCTGGGCTTATGACTGGGAGCTGCCTAAGGAAAACGTCTCCCTGCCCTGTACCTACACCTGACACCCCACCCCCATTTCCTGGACCACATTTGGGTAAAAATTGTATGGTGGGCCATGAATGCTCATGCGAAGCCCCCATCCTCGCTACTTGGCTGGAGCACTGGGCAGGCAGAGAGGAACAAACCCCTGACTTTGCTACCTGGCCAGACTGCTAGAGCGGGGCAATGGAGCTTGAGGGCTGGATTAAGAGCTTTCATAGGCCTCTGACAAGGCTAATTATGAGCCAATCGGGATCTAGAGTATATTCCTTAGAAAGACAACCAATTTTGATATAAAGACTTGAAATGACTGAATATCCACTACATCCCCACATAAATTGTTCTAACTATTAATTATCTTGTTAAAAATGTGTGGCTTATATATAGTCGGGTTTCCAGATGCTGGGTCTTGTTAATGCCTTTGCCTGTTAGTATGGCACTCCTTAACCTATTAGAAATCAGTCCTTTAAAACATCTGAAGCCAAAATGTTTCCTCAAACACAGTCAGTAAAGAGAATCAATTACGCTATTTCTGTGGCAGTTGAACTACAGTCCTCTTATAACAAAGATCTCTAGCAATGAACGAACATTATATGCTCTGTTCAAGGATGTGAAGCCTCCTAAATATCTACAGTGCGTATAGTGGAGAAGTCAGAAATCTCAAATGTAGACCTGAAAGGGACTTTAAAAAGTTATCTATTCTAGGCCCCTGCACTAAGGCAGGATCTAACAAACCCTGACAGGTGTTTAACCTGTTCTAACTCCCTTCCACAGTGATTCAGATTCTATAACTTCCCTTAAAAGCCTATTCCACTGTTTGACTATCCTTATAGTTAGAAAGTTTTTCCTAAAATATAAACAATCTCCAATGCCGTGTATTAAAACCATTTCATCTTGTCCTATCCTTTAGTAGACATGGAGAACAACTGATCATCATTCTCTTTATGTCAGCAGTTCAGTTTTAATGTCCTTGCTTTATTACAATTATATTTGGATTTAAATCAAAGGCTTTCAGTTTGAAAGAAGCCTTGGGTTTCTAAACTGTGAGTGCAACTAATATCATTTAGATATATTTTTGCTCTTTAGATTCACTAGGGTAGTTAAATGTCTAAATGACATCAATTACACCCACAGAATTGTGGGCACAAAATCAGAGGCTTTTCATAATCAGTCCCATTCGTATAATCTACAGACGTCCATCTACGTATACCTGAAAAGGGACATAAAATGAGGTGTACTGTGGGCTGATAACTTAAAGCAACATTAATGGGCAATCTGCACTAACTCTAAATGTGCTTTGTATGTCTCCCATACATCAGCTGTTAGGAATCCAACAGCAAAATGTATAACATTTACCTCAATTTAAATTCAATTTAAAACTCTCCATTGTTCTATAACCTACAGATCATTTTATATCTTCACAGAATCCTCTGATTGTTTATAATGCCTGTTAGTTTAGAGTCATCTGTACATGTGATCACCATATAATTTACTGTACTTCTCCAGCACATTACTGAAGATATTGATCTCAAAATAAACCTTTTTAGTTATCAGTTCTCTCCCCAGTATAAGGCACACCATTAATTACTCTGTTTTCCATCCATCAGAAAAGTTTGAATAAATGCGTAATATTCTTAGTGACCAGGTAAAATCTCATCTACTATTAGCCCTTCCTGTCAGATTACTCTGGTCTACAATTTTTTAGAAGTTGTCTGCTTCAGAGATAAAATGTGCTATTAATTATGTATTTTGATGTGCTGAATTCAAATATGACAATTAAAACAACTGATTGGCTACTGTTTCCAAGATATTTAAGTTTTTACATTTTACGTCTATGTATATTGTGTAGATAGTAGAGTTTTAATCATAAATTGTAAACCTAGGTCTTTTCATGTGTTTATGGTTGCTTTACATGATAATATTTCACCTGTCCTGTTTATGTAACACCTTAAAAATCAGAAAAAGAGTTATATAAATAAAATTTATTATGAAACAAAAGGCAAAAAACTATTATGTACATAGTTTAGTCCTATTCAGTGTCTACTCGGCGCTTCTTGGCTTGTCTCTTGTATTCATTAAATGGAGCATCTCTTGTCACTGTCCAGCAATAGTCTGCAAGCATTGATGGGCTCCATTTGCCCTGATAGCATTTCTCCATTGTTGCAATGTCCTGGTGAAATTGTTCGCCATGCTCGTCGCTCACTGTACCGAAGTTCAGTGGAAAAAAAAATCTAGATGAGAGTGCAAAAAATGTATTTTTAGTGACATGTTGCAACCAAGGC